ACTCAAATTTTCTTCTCTTTGCTTTTTTTTTTAAATTCAATTATTGCTAATTTTTTTTTTATTTTAGCCAGGACTTAAAACAGGTCGGCTTTCAATTGTTCTACGAACTCCATTAGAAACTACACCGACTAGTGGTACTGGTAATAATAGTGGCATTAGCGATAAATATTCATTAGGAACTGGTTCTCGTTAAAATATATATATGTATGTATATATTCTACAAGAAATAATATTCATCTATCTCTTCTTTCTCGACAATTTGTTTTTACACTTGTTTTAATTCTAGTCATAACGCCATCAAAAAATATTATTATTTCGTTCTTTTTTTTTTTTCTTTGGCATTTTATGTGTGTGTATAATTTCGCTTTCTATTGCATATATCATTGTACCTGTGTATTTTCATTAGTTGATTGTCATACGTTTTAGTTCTATCATCATTATCAATATTGATAAATAATATATACTTACATATAGCAATATGTAAGATAGATTATCCAGCTGCTCGTTTGTTCGATTATGACACAATTTGATACACCGGATGGAAGTGTGTGCGAAAAGGCTTGTTTCACGCCTAATCAGCATCACATCAATTTTCGAGAAATAGAAAAAAATCTATGCATTTGTAGATATTAATATGAATATTCGGATAGTAGTTGATGAGAAAAAATCTGCTCAATAGTAGAACATATTTCCCAACAGCACGCAGCTTGTACTATCATTGTCATCACTTAAATGTGAAGAAAACGGTAGGAGACGATTAATTTAGCCAGTGATTCTTTTTATTTTTTATTTTCTCCTTTTTCAATTATTTGCTGATATAGAAAAGTGAATAATCACTTTCTCTTTCTCTTTCGTTTTTACATTCATTGATATGGCTACAAGCAAGAAGTAAGAAGACATTTGATTGAAAAATTATCTTCAGTGAATTTCAATTTAGAATTGCTTGTAATCAAAAAATGTTATTTCAAACAAGTACACCTAAAAAACCAACTCTAACATCATTACCTCGTTCATCAACACCAAATAAGTTTTATAATCTTGTAAAGAATAAGATCAAAGATAATGATAATCGATCAAAAATTATAGGTGAAAAATGTTGTCAACATTATCAAATACCAATTATAAAACTTGATTTACTTCTTTATCGATCAAAAACTGAATGTTATTATCGTCGTCAAAATATTAAACAAATTTGGGACATTTAGAATTCTTTTTGTTCTTTTTTATATTTTCGTTTTAGTTTCTCTTGATTAAAAAAAAAACAATTGTATTGAGAAAATAAATATTCTTTATTCTTCACAAAAATTTTAAAGAAAGTTTCTCAACATATTCTATTTTCAATCAAACAGATTGAGTCGACAACAACAGGACTAGGACTGATACTTAGTGAATATATGTGATATGTTAATAATAATATCTTTATGCTTTATATAAAACATAAATCTAATTGGATCATTTCACGTGTTATTTAATACTATACAAAATAAAATACACCAATCTTTTCAGAGTATTGATAAATAACAAAAACAAAATTATTTACAAGCATTTGAATACAATTTTCTATTGAATAGAGCTCATATTAGATCAATGTATATCATAGAGTTCTGCAGAACAGTTTCGGAAATTTTCAGTAGGAGACAAACAAGATTTGAACTTGAAAAAAATTTGTTCCACAAAACTCTAATATATCAGTGTTATGTAATCTTCACTGGAACAAATCAAATACAGTACCGGATGCAGACATAAAAAAACGATTGTCAATTCCTTTTAAGAAATTTTTTACTGTAGAAATGAACCGATATGATCTCTAAATTGACTTTAAAACACATTTTATGACGATGATAACTTTCATTTATTAAAATCCTAGATCCTTCACTAATAAAAGTACCTTATTAGTATGAACTTATTTCACATAACATAAGAAAAATAATGGAAAAACTTGAATTTTATCATAAATATTCATTCTAACTTTGATTCCTGTATGAATTTGACAATATCTGTTTAATAAGATAAATCTTTGATATGTTTGTCTATATTTTTATGTTGAATTAACTTATTGTTCTTTGAATTTGTTCAAGTTTATTATGTGCTAAATATTTTCTTAAGAATAATTTTTCTTCACCTCTATTCGTACCGCGTAATTGCTGTCTGCTCAATGTTTTGACTCTATTTAAATGTATAGGATACGGCACGCGTCATTGTTTTGCTTTACAATTCACACCTACATTCAAACTTAACATCACATAAACAATAAACTTTCTCGTTTTCTCTTTAATAGACTATATATTACATATATATGCTTATCAAAGATTGATATCGAACAAGTATAGTATTAATTGATAGTAAATAAAACTTCAAAGAGATGAAAAAACAAAACTAGTTCAAGTATTTTCAGTTGAGTTTAATTTCATATTGAACTTTATTTTGGTTTTCAAAAATTTCAAACTATTAAATATATCTTTATTGTTTTCTTTTTCTTCATATTCTATCTGTCACCGTTTAGCAGTTAGTTGTCATTGTTTACTCGATAAGGGAATCATTTTTCTCTTACCCAATTAATGTATACATATACAATCGCAGTGTTGTCTTCTTTTTTTTTTTTTTTTATTCTTCTCTTTCCTTCTTTATAAATATCTTCTCTATTTAATATTATAACATTATTAAAGAAATAACAAAACGAAAATAATGATGAATATGGATGATGGATCATCTTTACTTCCAAGTGTTGATTCATTTCAATTACATGTACCATTAACATCAACACCAAAACGTTTGAATAAATCTTATAATTCTCAACCATTATCATCAACATTATCAATGTCTAATGATTCTTGTACACAATTTGAATTATCAATTTCCGCAATTACATTAATTCAAAAATCACCTATTCTATCATATCAAAAACAATATCGATCGAATCGTTGTCGACGAAGTCATATACCTCCATCAACGATTATTAAACGTATTGAATTGAAATATTTATTATATTCAACAAGAGCTATGAAATATAATAAACAACGTCAATATACTGATACTGAAATGAAAATTTATGTTATATAATAAGACTAATATTATCTATTTTTATTTATTGTAAAAGTAAATTAGTAGTTTTGTCGCTTTTTTTTCAAATATGATCATCAATTAAAAAAAAAAACAAAGACTATTTTTTTTTGTTGTTCTGGATTACACTGATGAAAAAATTATCAGTTCTTAAAAGATTACTACTTCATTATTTCACTCTTCTCAGATTGATCTACGCGAGTGTCTGATAAATATGCATGTATCATTTTAGGAGACTCAAATATCTAAAAGTATATTTGTGATTGGATTTTACGTGTCTTCTTGATTGCGGACGAAAATCAAAAGAATTAGCATGCCTACAGTGTGGGTGAGGGCTGAAATTTTGTCCGCAATTAAGAAGTAGCCGGATTTTATTGCCAGACAGACTTATATAAAATTAACTTAAACTAATATGCTCGTGACTAGACACGTGTACGAGCAAGTGTTTTTTTTGTTCCGGTTCCGGTAAATTTTTTATCCATCAGTTCCAGTCATAGTTTCAGCAAATCTAGTGTAGTCCTGTTCAAATGATTTTAGTTTTGAGACTCTTGAACCGAATCTAGATCCTGATAAGGTTTTATTGTTTGGTTCTATACTTGTCTACTTATGACGCAAATTGATAGTAGATTTAAAATAGCTAAGAAGTTCTAGAGGATAGTTTTAACATACTATTGAAGTATAGAATTTTCGCTTTTTTTTTGCTCTTGAATCAATCCCGGATTGGTCTAGAGAATCCTAAAATTCGAAAGATTCTTATCGGTGGACTAATAGAAAGCAATGACATTGCATTGAATGCCATCATCAGTTAATCCATTAAATCAGAATTCATGAGGTGAACAAAGGTTTTACACGCAAGGATTACTTCAATAGAAAGACGTTTATAATTGTTTGAATTTTTACTTAATTCTTGTATTATCTGAAATGACATTGTGTTCTCTTTGTTCACCAAAAACAACTCAAATCTGACATTGATGAATAGACTGATTTGAGTTATAGATTAAATTTCTCCTTCAATCCGACATTACACATATCCAAGGTGAGCATAAACGCTGTTGAGGTGGATTTTTGCGGTTTCTTTCGTGAGAAATCGATTTTTATAGGATCGCATCCTGATACATTACAAGTCCCATAAAAATTCTTCCGGTTGAACTGAAAGTATATTTTTTAGCTACCCAAGACTATATTTTATAGATAATTTTAAGTTTTCTGAAAATATCAGTTTCTCTTATGAGAGAAACACATTAAGGTTCAATGCTACAGCTCGAATGTTGAGTTTCAGGGCCCCATAAATCGGAATAAGAAAGTCACAAACGAAAACGATTTATTTAACCTTTGGAATATACTTCCAAGTATCAGTGATAAGAATTTCAGTCTAATTGAACAGAGTTAGATCGGTATCGTAGACAACAAGGATTTCTAAGGAACAAAACCACAAAAATCCATTTAACCATTGTTTTATTCGAACACGTGTCTCCTTATTTTAAATACTCTATTGATGATAGAAACTTCAGTTTAATCAGCTGTATTATCTTCGAAAATCAGAAACATTCGAAAAAAAGAAAAGAGCATACTCTTAATCAGTTTGTCTGCTTCGTTTTTAAATTGTACTATGTATATATATTTTTTTTTCTGTGCAAAAGCTATACGCTAATCAAAAGAAATTCAATCAAAAATTTTTTTTTCAGTGTTACTAATATGCCACTGATGATAGATCATATTACGTTTTTTTCTTATCAAAAGTTTAGTCTTATCAATGCATTGTGTCATAGTTTAATTTTCAAAAAAAAGAAAACAACCAAACATCAAAGCTTGACTTGCCTGTGTTATCATATGTCAGATGCATTTTTGATCGACAACAACACAGAACTTAGTTCTCTTTTAATTTTAGTTTGAATACCAAAGAGTACGGTCTTTTCTCCTGGTTTAAAATCAACAATAAAATGAAAAACATCAATCCATTTCTAATTTTAACTGTCTTTATTTTTATCATTCGGTTGAGCGATGCTAAACCTACTGGCGATAAATGTGAGTATTAAAGCTTGTTTAGATTTTTGTAAATAATAGAATTCACTTTAATGATATAGACTTTCGAAAGCATAATTTTTTTCTATGGAAATGACATTGTAGTGAAAGACTTTCTGTTTATAGTCTACATGGATAAAATGTGTGGAAATGAATCAATTATTCTTGATGGTGATTCTAAACCTGGTACATCGTTTCAATTAACAAGCAATAGTAAATATCAGCCGAATTTTCATTGTACTATCAAATTTCGTACAGCACAAGCAACACAACGATTTGTTGTTACGGTAGAAAAAATGCATACTGTTAATTGTCCACATGATTTATTACAAATCTATGATGGTTCAACATTACTTAATAAAGATATTAAACAACAATGTGGTACACCTTCTTCATTCAGTTTTACTGTATGATACTTGATAGTCATTTATTAAAATTTTAAAAATCCTTTTTCATACTATTTAGACTACAACAGGACAAGTAACATTTACATTTATAAGTGGTGCAGGAACTAAATCTTCGGGTTTTCAAATAGCTATTGCACTTCATTTTCCAGGTAAAGATAAATATAAATTTTTCGACAATTTTTAACCGTAGAAAGAAATACACATAGGCTTCAAGAGACAGGCTTTCTCTACCTAATAGTTTATGCATTCGCAAATTCGACTGTATATTATTGACATCCGAATAGATGGCGCTATCTATTGACATATCACCAGTACTCAGTAGGACCTGATACTGCATACAATATTAGATAGACGAGATTTCTCTTTATAATCCTAAACATATGCTGTTTTCTAGTCAAACTCTTATCGTCTATTTTGCTTAGGATTGAACAAATCATTTGAAGAGTTCTATAGAACTGTTTACAGTTAAAATATTTCGACCTACTTCTTTTAGTGGCCTTTAATCAAGAATAGTCAGAACTACAAAATCTGCCTCGAATTTCGAGCCATTGTTTTTGCGGAGCATAATCAAGCTCATAAAGCTAACATGATTTATTGGTACACATTATTTCGTCGTCTAGACTAGTCTAGATTGAATACTACTTTAATATAGATCAAAACAATTTAGCTGTAAGAGTTTCTTTAGAAACTTTATATGCCTCGCACACTTCTGCCTTTATTTTCATAAATTAATAGATCTTTATTATTTTTATTCAGCGGTCGCTGCATGTCCTCAACATCTTGGCTTTTTTCTATGTAGCAATAAGAATTGTATTTCAAAAAAACTTCAGTGTGATACACATAATCATTGTGGTGATTTTACAGATGAAATATCATGCAGTATAGTTGGTAAAAAATAACAAAAAAATGAAAAAAAAGAACCTGATATATAACTTCTTTATTGTAACTCAATATCTTTAATAATACCGTACTTTTAAGCATAACTGACATTATTGTTAAAAAATAAAATAAAATAAAAAAAAATGAAATAATTCCTTTTTTTTTCTTTTTCTTTGAGAGAAGAAGTTATTTTACAACAAAAATAACAACAAAATAAATTTCCTATGATCGTTTTGGTTGACCAACATCAATTAAAAAATGTGTATAAAGATGATGCAAAGTTATATTAAGTAATTTATATTTAACATTATTAACACCATCAGAATCAATACGAATATGTGCTGTACGTAAAACTTTCATACGCGAAGGATTTAATTTTTGATGTGTATGTTTTAACATTTTATAACGTGCTATAGATGCTGGTGGTCGTTCAAGAATTAAATGTTTCTTAGTAATACGTTTATACATATCATCATCTTCACCACCCCAACCCCAATAATTAGTTGAATAGCCATTAACAAGTATATAATGCTCACGACGCATAGCTAAACGAAAGGAAAAAAAGTCTTATCTCCGGGATTTGCGTTACAACGGAAATTACTGTATAAATAATTACATGTCTTATCTTGTTTGTTTTTAGTTCAATAATAAAACTAATTATGAGTTTATTACATGAAGAAAGAGTTTTGATATAAAAAAAGTATTGAGAATATTTCTATACTATGAAATATTAAATGTAGATCAAATACAAAATCCTATTTAATTTTATGAAGTATGATACTTTAAATCAATATTTCATATGTAATATATAGAATTTCTGTGATGTTTGCTTTTAGCTTAGGGTAGTTTTTAGTGAATAAAACTTAAGTCGATTCAGATAATAATTATATATTAAATATTTTTTTGGTATATTTAATGTATTCATATTTCTTGGATTGATTTCATTTAGAATTAGAAAACAATGCTAATTGAATCTCATTTTATATACTACAGATTTATTCAATTTTTGCATATCATATGAGAATAAGTATTGTTTAATAATTTATTTGCACTTCAATAAAAAAATACGATTTCTCCGGGTAGTAAATCAGATATTATTTATTATTTCGAAACTTGTAAGAAAAACAATACTGATGATAAAATATTTATAAATAGTTTGTACTATATTACTCTCAGCTATCTGCTATCTTTATACTAAGTATAGTGTCAGTATTTCTCATTTTACTATATAATATATATATATGTATATACCTATGAGATTGATTTATTAGCTGAGTTTAACTCTCTGACCTGAACGGTCCCTAAGGAGCAATATAGATATGAGATATAAGGTTACGTTAAACCTACAAAATTCTTTTTCACTTACCTAAAACACCACCAACAAGTTCTGGATAGGGTAAATAAAAATCAAATTTATCAATAGCAACACTTAAATGACGTGGATATAATGGACATGTATACATATTTCGATCATCAATTAATAATAAATCCACATCATGCATTATAAAACATGGTGTATTTGGTTCAAGGTTTAAAATTTCTTTAAAACAACTATTCATAACAATACCTTTATTAAATGTACTATCAAATGCTTGTTCACATACATATATTCGATAATCTAATTGTTGTCGTTGTAAAAATTCATGTGTATGAAAAAGAAAACGTCTTAAAATATCCCAACGATCTCGATATGGTACAATAATAGCGATTTTATGACGAGCTACACATATTTTTGGATGATAGTGACCACCATGTTGAACTTCTGGATAGTATGGTGATATGTCTAAAAGAGAAAAATTTTCTGGTGGTTCTTGTATCATTATTGGACCTTTTAAATTAGATGGTATAAGTGGACAATACGATGAAGATGTATTGCGACGATCTAATATCATCATAATATTAGCGGTAAACACTTGTAAAAACATTTGATAAGTTTCATCCAGTAAACCATATGTTGTGGCTGATTGATTATCTGATGCATTTGCTAGAGAATTTCCTATAAGAGATATTTTTGACGGTGTGATAAATGCATTATTTTCAGTTGAAACAGCATGTCGAATAACATATACAACATTGAAAATAGTTGTAATAGACATTATAAGAGTGCAAATGATGCACCATTTATAGATACGCCTTTGAAGTTGAAATTTATTCATCGATTAATTATATAAAAAAAAAGATAAGAAATAGTTTTTATAAAATAAAATTTACTTTTATAAAATATTTATAAGAAATTTCTTCTTCTGCCGTATAACCAAGATGACATGAGGAAAATATCGACTCGCCCTCTATTTATGATAGATAAATGAAAACAAGGTTGCACATACACGTAAAAGAGATAGAAAAAAAAAGCGTGCATCTCGTTTTTGTGTTCTTGACTATTGTCAAGAATCTTGGATACATGATAACTAACATTGTTTGTTGCTGTTATTATTTTCTTTTCTTAAAAAGATTTTATACTTATCTTATCAAGTACACTTTAGAGAATATAAGAAATAAAGAAAAATCACTGATACCTCTTGAGACGATTTTAATCAAATAAACTATAAACTATATTGATATTATTTATTGAAGTATAAATTTTCAAGCAATAAAAAAAAAAATACTAATATCTCTTATTTCTACACTTATCAAATATATACTTGAGTCATATTACTAATCATTGGTTGATATACGTAGAATGAAAAAAATATATATTACAACTGAATAAAAAAGAAAAACAGTAAGCAAAATAAAGATCATAAATAACTGAAAATATCTTTAAATAGTTTATATCTATCTGACTATTAAATGTATAAAGAAAATTAAATACAGTGTCGAGTCCATACTGAATCAAATAGTTGCAATGATTTGTTCAATGAAAACAAAATTAATGAAGCGAAACAAGGTAAAAAGAAAAGTGCACATCAACGTTTTTCATCACCCGATACATGTGCTTATATTAGCATAAAAAAGTAATATCCAATAGAATATTTACCTTTTATCAATAGAGGATGATAGTTTTCTGTTTATCGCACATTATTTTAAGAAAATGATTTATTTTGATCAATGTTTGAATATTCGTTCAAGTAAATAATCACATAAGCAGAATATTAATAGTAATAAACATGTCTATAGAATCAATAAATAAGAAAATTTAAATAAAAAAAAAAAACAAGAAACAAAAAAAACGAGTCCAATTTCATCCAAGCTATATTTCGTCACTATAATATTGCATCTGATCCGTATATTTATGATCATGAAAATTAATAATAAAGCATGGATAGAAATATTCTGTGTTATCTATAAAAAGAAATTCATAGAGTCATTAGAACAACAAAACGTCAAGTATGTTTGCCTTTTCAATGTGAAATCGTGTCTGAGTTAGTGTTTATTTACAGGCTTTTTTTTATTGTCTTAACAACATAAGTGAATACTTTTCTATTTTCGTTTAAGCTTTTTTTTTTTTGCTGAGTAGATTTGTCAAGAGTCTTATCTAATTCATAAATCCTCATTAGTCATAAAAGAATCTCATAGATAAAATTTTTTAAGTACTAAAAAAATTAAGTCTAATTCTTTTTCACCACAGAATACGACAATTTCTTGTATAATCTAGCAAGATTCTTGCACTTTATTTTCACAATCAGTATAGATCTATTTTAATTTCATCTTCACTTGTATTTTATTCTTGAAGTTAAATGGCATAGATTTGGTGGAAGGTGAAAAATATCGAAAAAAAGTTATGTTTCAAAAATAGAATATCAGTGTATATTTAAAGAGAAATATTCATATTTCACATCCATCCCTTCTACAATATCCAAGACCTAAGAAATAGAAATTTCTAACGTAGGTTGTAAAAGAACTCTCAACAGAGCTATGACAATTCTTCGAGAAAACGTGAATCGACCATTAGTTCTTTCGCAGTTCCACCATTCAGAAACGCCGGACTGATGCTTTTTCCGCAAATAGTTTTCACACCGAGACATTCACATTCACAAACTCATTGATGAATATGAATGGGAGGGTCAACACTATCGTAGATATGATATCTTTTTTTTAATTTTAGCAATCATGACTTTGTGCAGAAACCGAAAAGGAATGTCTATTTTCTTAGTTCTTCAAAACACCTACTATGTTTATACGATCAACATTTTTTCCGCAATTTTTTCGTTCGATCAAATCGATACATACCATTGAAGATTTTACAAATATTGTCGACATTAAAAAAATGAACAGAATGATTATACAACAAAACAATATTACACTATTGATAAAAGTAATAAGAAAATAAGAAGCAGATGTTCATAGTCATTTGGATAGAATTTTTTTTGCGTAGATCAGAAAAATACTTTATCGTTCTTATAGACATAGGCAAAGTACGTTCAAGTGAGTTATATAGACATATAAGAAAAAAAAGAATGACTATTCATCTTTCGATTTCGAATAGAGTCTTTTTATCGTTCTATTAATCGATATAAAGTACTCTAGATTGAATTTCAAGGCGAAAAGGATTCTATGTAATACATCAAGAAAAATGAGAATCTTGAGAGAATATAGGCAAGAATATCGACTTGTGAAGTACCTAGAATGATACTTCGAAAAAAAAAAATCAAAAGTACAAATGAAGATGTGAAGCAAACTTCATTTTCAATTTTGGATAATTTGTATAAATCATGGGTAAACTTATATAAAATTACTTTGATAAAATAGTTCTTTGCTTATCGATCTTTGCTCTTCTTAAAGTATGCTTTTTTGCTTTTCATTTTGTTCAATTAAAAAGAAACATTTTATTTCGGCCTAGTATATTGACAACAAAAAATCTTTTCAAGAGAATATAGTCATGAAGTTAGAGATGCACTTATTTCTTAGAACAGAATGTTAAAGATGCCATACCTTTTCTTTGTTAAGAATATAGTTCCTGAAGATTGTTGATATCAGCCATCATTGCTCTATTAGATACTGAAGTTGAAATACATGAAACAGAGAAAAAAGGTTTCTGAATAAGTCGAAAAACTCTATGTTTTAGTGTTTTCGATCAATC